AGAAAATCATTAGCACTGGAAAGGGTGCTGCTACCTGAAGAAAGGCAGCGTATGCCTCAGGGAACAAAAGCTCATTAGAGTGCTAGTCTCTGTTTCCTTTATTGTTAACCATCATGTGTAAACATAAGCCAAAATGCCTATTTAAGGGATGTGCTCACACATGGATTTCAAGCACTTTACAGACATCTGTTCTTGCCAAAAGCTGTTCTTCATTTCCTTCACAGTGCTTGGGCTTTCCCTCCATATTTCCCCACCTCTCAGCTTGTGGGACTCCGTAACAACACGACCGTCTGTCACACCTCAGTTTCTTGGTTCAGCTCCTCAAAAGCCATCAACAAAAGCCATCAGCTACCTCTCAGAAGTTGTCTGCACTGTAATGCATCTGGGCCCCAGTGCAAAGAACAGCCTCAAAACCAAGCAGCTTCCAGGGGCTGTCAATATAACCAAAGCCCCAACTCATATCAACCATCCTTTTGTTAGAAATCACAGAATCACAGAATCATTTGAGTTGGATTAGATGGCCTTTAAAGGTCCCTTTCAACTCCCCTGCAATGAACAGGGACACCTACAGCTCCATCAGGTCGCAGATCGCCTCGTTCCACGAATACTTGCACTGATCCAGGTCGACCCTAACATATGAGGGATGAGTTGTGCATCCAGATAACGGGGTTAGGACAATGTTCCCTCCATGTGGAAAAGCATGCTGCTGTACAAAAACCTCCAGGTATTTTCCAAATGAGACATCTTCAACAGGGATCATGTTTTTTCATTGTGTTTTCACTGATCAGACCAGATGATGACCCATCCCCTTTCACTAAACAATATATTTATAAATATTTTGTTCCACAATGAACGTATTGATCAGGAATACCCGAGACCATACTAGTCCTAGATAAAATTGCATCTTGGTCTATAAATTGAAACTTCTATCAATACTTATCAAAGCATAGAACATATGTTCCAGTAAGAGTTTATAAGTGACTTAGATGATTATGTGCGGTTGATGTACAACAAAACCATCTGAATTATGAACTGTGTTAAGAAGAGGTAATTAAATTTTAGAGGTTAAGGCTGCCAGTGCTTTGGACTTCGATAAATACAAAGTCAAAAAAGGCATTTCTGGGAACATTAGCATCTGTTCAGCTGCTCCATGGATGTATATAAGAGAACAAGCCTATTCTTCACAAAAAGGAATTTGTATTTTTATGGATCGTTATTCCAGAAGAAGCTGCTACACATGGCAATGGGAATGCAGAGGGAATTAAAAGACAATCAAATCACACATCGTATTGATTTCCTTTCCTTGCATTTTAGCTCTCAGATTTATGGAAGCGGTTATAACGAAGTGTCTGCCAGCATCTTAAGTCAAAGCCTTAGATGCCAGAAGTTTCATACTGCCATTGTTATTACTCAGAAAGGCTAAACTTTCAGACTACTTTATCAATAGCACTTAATGAACAACCAGTGGAAAGGGATAAATTCCTGTAGAGTCTGATTCATCCTGAGATAACTAAATCAGGAGATGAACTGTCCTTTGTAAGACACCTTCCTCTCAACATTGACTGCTAACAGATCCTTCAGCATCTAGCTTCAGATGAAATAGCATTACAGGAAACTCCATCCAGAAAGACTGAATGAGACAAGAGACAGTGCCTCATTCAGTCTGTGCAACTGGGTGTTGCTCCTGTCTTCCATGCTGCACATGGCAGTCTTACTCCAAGCAGTAAGAATTGTTTGTGTATTGCTTGGTCCATCCATACAGATGATCAAAATCACAGACCAGAGCAGGAAAGCTCTGAGCTGCTGCTCCTCAAGCAAGAGAGCTGTTCTTTGATTCTGGTTCACAGAGCTATTGAGATGTCCAGAACAAGGAAACATAGCTGCTTGCACTAGGCTAGGGTAGCTGATGCCACGTATTTATGTCCGTGTTACACTGTGTACCTTCCAAAAACATCCTCATGATGTTGCTGCAGAGTCAGTACACTGCAGTCACTTGTTGAACAGGTGACGGATGAGCTGCTTTCTTTTGCTCATTTATTCTGTATCTCTTTAAAAACAAGAAAGCATTTAGTGGCATGATTGTGCAGCCATAATGGTTGGAGTGTTCTCCTAAGGGAAGGCTTTTGCTCGGATTCTGGCTCCCAAAAGTCCTACACTTGGAGAAAATGAGTTTTCAAGGTTTCTTCCAGCTCCATTTTTTTATGAAAGGCTGATTTCTCATTTCTATGAAAAGGCACATTTGTCACAGGCTTATTGTGCACAGTTGTCAAGATTACAAGAACTGTTCCTACTGCTTTTGGTGTTAGCACAAATAATTCGTAAAACCAGAGGAGTCATTGTTATTTGTGGACTGCCTTAGAGGATGCTTTCATATTTCCTCCTGGATTAAAAACTGCACGCACAGAAGCATAGCAAAATTTGGACCCTTAAAAAAAGCCTCACTTCTTCCAATATGTAAACCAGATGTGCTTGTGATGTCTAAGCTAACATACAATCACTTCAGTGAAATTAAAGAGATTTCCCAGATGGATGAGGATTTAAGCAACTAACCTGGGTCATTCCGTTCTCCTAGCTTCCCAAAGTACCTGCTACCCTTGGAGCCTATCTCCTTCAACCCTACTGAGCTGCATCCTCTTCAGACAGGACTATTTTGATGACTCTTACAGTAACACTTGTTCAGAAGACAGAACATACAGTAAATAATTTATTCTCCAAGAACCCCATCATAAGGTTCAGGTTGGATATTAGGAAATTTTTCTTCTTCAAAAGAGTGATAATGCACAGGCTGCCCAGCAGGGTGGTGGAGTCACTGTTCCATGGAGATGTGGCTCTGAGGGACATGGTCAGTGGGCACGGTGGGGTGGGTTGGACTTTGGAATCTCAGTGGCCTTTTCCAACTTTTATGATTCTGTGATTCTCTAAGTGTTATCATCTGCCTGAGAATGGGTTCATCATGTGGTGTTTCTGCTTTGCCTAGCACTAAAAGATTCTACTTGTCTTTCTGTAGATAGGATGCTAAATGCCATTCTCTTCTGAAAATCCAAGGCTACATTTCCGGCTCATGTGTCATCTGAGTGTGAACCAGTGCAGGGATACGTGTGTAAGTCTGCAATCAGCACCAGAATCAAAGAGCACAGATCTCTCTTACTCTTATTAATCACATTGTGATTTTTAGCATTAAAATCTGATGGTAGGACATCAACCATCACTGGTCCCAGTGGTGAATAGAAGACTCAGGCTAACAAAAAAAACACAGACAAAAGAAAAAAAGAATACAGAAGAAAGAGCAGGATCAGATGAGGAAAAAAATGTGAGTAAGAATTAAAAATAATGTAATAACTTGCAGTATCCTGAGATGAAGTAGCAGTGAAGCACTGAACACATCTCTCAGTGGATCCCTTTTGCTGAGGGATGTGTTCTAGCACTGCAATGCCCACTGGCATTGGAGACCATTATGTCAGCACCATGGAACAGAGACCTGTCTTTATACTGTTAAAATTCAACTTCTTCCTCAGACAAACATGATGCTCCTGGACCAGACAGTGTTAGAAAGGGTCTAGCTCTAGTTCTTAGCCTAAAACACATCAACCCCCTTTGGTTATTCCCAACAACTCAACCTCCCCGTAGCTCCCCCATATCTAAACTAACCTCACCAGCAGAGGTTTCTCTCTATCGTGTGCCCATATGTAGCCCAGAGCCAAGTTTTGCAATGAGGCTGACAGGAGAGTAGACCTCTATTAAGAGAGGTGGCTGCGAAGAACAACACAGTGATTAAATGCAAAATTGAAATCATAATGAAAATTGGGGCACTGAAAAGAAATTTTAATTAAGTAAGGAGCTGCAAATCAAACAAATGTATTCATTATTTAATCAACTAGTGAGTGCAAAAATCTCAACTAATCAGGAAAGTCTCAGGGAGCAGATAAAGAAACAAATCAAGGAACCAATTTAAAAGCCATAAGAAAATAGCACACATCCACATCATAAAGTAGCATTTGTCTGAGAAATAGAAGCTGGTTTTTTTTTTTTTCGTTGCTGTTTTGCTTTTTTTCTTTTTTCCTTTTCCCTACAAACTCTCTCTGTCTCATCATTGTATGGCTTTATGGCTTATTAAAAAAAAAAAAACAAAAAAACAAACAAAACAACACACAAAACAAAGAAGTCATACAGCAATTTGTGATGCCATCTTTTTGCATATTTAATTTGTTCAGACACAAGGGACAGTGATGTTTTTCTTTTCCTATCTTCACCCTTTCTTCCCAACTGTAAGAAAACCCCTGAGAACCTTAGTATTTAAGGGGCTGGAAGAAAGAAGGGAACAGACACCTTAGCGGGATCTGTTGTGACAAGAGGAAATATTTTTAAACTAACAGAAGGGAGATTTAGACTGGATATAAGGAAAAAAAGTTTTTGCCATAAGGGTGGTGAGGCACCGGCACAGGTTACCCAGAGATGTGGTGGATACCCCATCCCTGGAGACACCTAAGGTCAGGCTGGAAAGCCCAGGCTTTGTGAAATTCACTTGGTTTTCATCAAGGATTGACCATCCATGGAGACACTCAAAGTCAGGCTGAATGGGGCTCTGAACTCCTAATGGAGCTGTGGGCGTCTCCGTGCATTGCAGGCAGAAAATTGGCATAAATTGGCATTTATGGGTCCTTTTCAACTCAATTCTATGATTCTGAGGTCTCATCATACCCAGTTTGTTTTACAGGGAGCCAAAAGTTTGGCTGATAAGGACCTGCGTCAGGCTATGCTCTTAGCAATGCTTCCACCCCAACTTTGTTCTGCCCATAGATGTGACCACAGGAGTGAGCATGCAGCATTCACTTAAATGAACTCCTTGCAAAGTCAGCAAACAGCTCAGCGTGAGCACAGAGAAACCTTTCAAGCCTCAGAGCTACATCAAGGTAACCAAATGAGTCACAAGCAGCCAAGTAATTACTTTTCCAGGCTTCTTTACTCAAGGATTTGGATTTGTGTACAAAACCGTGAATCCAGAGAGAATTGGCCAACATGCCTTGTGAGCACAGACCTGTTTGCACTCAAAGCAGTTGGAAAGTGGCAGGAGATGCGTTAAAGAGTTGTACAAACAAGTCATTTACTGCACAGGATTGTAAGCGTAACCTGCCTAGAGCCTAATAAAGATCACATGTTTAATTAGTGGCTTCATTCAGCATTGTGTGAACGGTGATTCACTGCGCCAAGTGGGAGGAGACTGGTAGCAAATAGACCTTGTACAAACTACCTGAAAAAGAAGATATTTTATGCAAATAGTACGATTCAGCTGCAAAACAAAAACCTGTGTGAAAACACGGTAGTGTTTTTAAAATGCAATGTAGTAAGCTCTTCTGTAGAAAAGGTGGAAGTTGAATACATCTGTACAGTAAAGGGAAAGGAGTCTGATTTCACATACAGCATTGGGAATTCATAGAAACAGAGTCATTTGAGATGAAAGGGACCCTTACTGGCCACCTAGTCCAACTCCCCTGCATTGAACAGGGACACCTACAGCTCCATCAGGTGCCCAGAGCCCCATCCATCCTGACCTTGGGTCAGGAACATCCACCACCTCTCTGGGCAGCCTGTACCACTGCTACCCTTACCTGTATCTCCTTCACTACCCTGCCAAGGAGTCTGCCTCCTTTCTTACAGCTCCCCCATTAGGTACTGAAAAAAACTGGGACCTCAGATATTTGATTTCTTGATGTTTTTGTTGCTGGAGCACAACCCAAGTTTTTTCTTTTTTTCTTTTTTCTTTTTAATTTCTGCTTGTCTATGTTATTCAGTTGCTCCTACTGCCACAATATGAAGCACTTCACATTTTTAGCATTTTTCACCTCATCACACCTGTTTTGCAAATGCAAGCACACAGCTCCACTTCTGCACGGGGCTGCTGGCTGCCTTAGAAGTGCTTGGGGCTCCAGAATGAAAAACTCCTACTCTGCAGGGTTCAGGAGGTCTCCAATGTTCAGAGCTGCAAATGTCTTTTAACATTAACATTTTCAGGTAGTCCAAGGTCTGCCAATAGCACTCCACAGTTTTTGGAGGACCACACTTCCCAGTGCCCAGCTGGTTCTTCAGCCTTATCCCATTGCACAAAGTGGGAACTCCCTGGTGGGGTCAGGGCTGCTATTATGCTCAGAGCACGCTCTCAAGACCAGGCTCTGTCCCCTCTAAAATTGATGCTTCCTCCCTATTCTCCTGTAGGGTAACTACCGAGAAAATTGATTTATGGGAAACAATATTACTCTTCTCTCTGCATATAGGGATTTAAACCATTTTCTGGGTCACAAAAGCACAGAGCTTGCTGGAGCAGTGATGTGTGCTTCAATCCCTGGAGCTGTTCCAATCCCTTGAAATAATTAAATAATTATCAGGACAGGCTGGGAAGAAGAGTTGAAGTGTGAACCCACAGCTTCATGGTTAGGGCTCTCCTGTGGGAGCAAGGATAGCTGGCTTCCAGTGCACTGAGCATGTCAATGCTTAACTTTAAAGAAAATACTTTGTTCTGTGTTACTCTGAGTGCCTCCAGAATATACAGCTCTTCCACCTCATTCTTTTTGTCCATCTTTGGTACCAGTTTGTGAATCCAGCTGGGTGCCAACCAGCCCAACATTGACCATCCCTGTCTCTGGAGGATGCACGGAAGTATCACAACTCCCTGGGCAGCCCTAAAGAAGCCCAGTTCATTTCACTTATGTTTTGCTGAATTGAGGTCCATTTGCTTCAGACTGCAGAAGCCGTAACTTAAAGGCAGGTTTGGATGGATGTCCTGCTGCTGGCTGTCTCTGCTCCCTCATAGCACTTCTGAGTTAAGTATGGTCTTAGTGTGGCATATTTATGCTTCACTGATTCAGTTCCATCATCATTCCAGTGTCATGGCTGGGATATAGTGTCCCTCTGCCTTGCAAAAGGAAATCACATGCCCCTAGTTCTCATACACATTTCAGTTCTGGCTTCACAACTACTGGCCAGCAACCCAGAATCACCTCATCCTTCCCAACAACTTCAGCAGGAGATAACAATGTTGATCCAGTTGAAATGAAACAGAATATTTGCTTGTGCCTTGCTAGCAGGATTGGTGTGCAGTCAACAAGGACAAGCACACACACACACACACACACACACACACACAC